AAAGCTCCAGCAGCCTGTACCACAGCAGACCCTGACACTGCATCTCCTTGGGAGCGCAGGAGAAGCCGAGACACGCCAGGCTCTGCCTGCTCCCACTCAGGGCACAGGTACCTGCTCCTGTGGCGCTGCAGGCATGGCCTGGGAGGCACAGCAACATGCCTGCCCTGGCAGCAAGCCAGGAGTGACTTTCCAGTGGCAGAGTAATAACCACTGGGAGCAAGTCAAGCTCCTGCCCGAGCCCAGGGAATCTGACAGCACTGAGCGCTCCCAGGTTTCCCAAGAGGAATATTTCACTGTAACCCACACACAGTACATGACATGGGCCCTGAGCAAGGCACTGCATGACTTACAGCTGACTTCAGCAGGCTTTAGTTTGATCCATAAATCCTCTAGACACTTCACAAGAATGTTGCTCAACTCCCACTGCCTTCAGCCTCACAAGAGGTAGACATAAATACTTAGCATTAGCATAGCTCCCCATGACTCATTTTTTCTCCTTTTTAAATATAGCATCCTATAAATGTGGATACATTCTGAGCAATAAAACTCACATTGTTACTGTTCATCATGCAACCATAACAAAAAAATTCCTCCTGCCAGCTTTGGACAACTTCCTTCATCAAACTCCAAACACTGCTGACCCTCACATGGCTGAGATGCAGCAGTGGAATCTCTGCTCCGTCAGGGAACCCAGGCAGCACAGGGACTCAGCACTGTGGCAGCAGGTGTGGAGCTGGGCAGGAAGCTCCATCATCAACAGCCACTCATATCAACTTTATAAAGAGGAGTAGAGCTGGCTCTGGGCACAGGAAGAGCAGGGATTTGCCAGAGAGGAACATCGTTTCGGTAGCTGAGAAGCAGCCTGTGCCAGCCTTGGGGAAGGCACTCACTGAAGAAGTGGTGGTGGAGGCATCTCTAGCTGGGGGATGTTCCCCACTCTTCATCTTTCCCAGACACAGATCACCTCCCTCCCTCAATCACCAGGCTTGAGCTTTCTTCCTTAGAAAAGTCAAACCCACATTGCCTAACAAGCAAATGCCACAAGCTGCTTCAGAAGCCCCAAGGAAGAAACAGATGGGAAAAGCATGGATCAGAGCTTGTTAATTTTCTCGGGAATTAAGACCCAGTTTCAGCACCCTCCTGTCTGTCCTGCTGCAGACTTTCTTGTGTGATCAATCCCTCATGCTGTGTTTACCTTTACTGAAAACTTCAGTTCCCTAGCTGTACAAATGAGATAAATAGCAGGTCCCTATCTCACAGGTATGTTGCAAAATAAATAGTTTTCACATTACAAGTGTTACAGGAATGCTTTAAAACTTGCACAAGTATCAAGAGTAATCCATCACTGCTCATAAAGAACCCTAGGACTGATAGCAAATTAAAATCTTACCTACACAAACATTAGAGTATGCAAGACTGTTTTCTTAGTTTATCTGTTTCTGCTGATAACCATGTTTGCCCCAGTGACTTGAACTGTTCTAGTCACAAGCTGTTTAAGTGCACCAAATCCTGTCTAAAGAAATACATGCTGTGCTCTGTCTGCAACAACAGCTGAGACATCAGTCATCCTCTCAGCTGTCCTAAAGACACAGCTGAAAATGCATGCCCATAACAATCCTGCTGCCAGGTGACTGAAAAGTACACTTTTACCTCTTGGACCTCTCTAGTAAGATTACCTATGAGAATTTATTTATCACAGTATTTTCCTAATTGTTTCTCCAGCACTCTTATTTAATATCTGAAATAAGTGGAGTGGCAGAGCCGCCACTCTCATCCTAGAAACTGGCATTTTAAAGACAAGATAAACAGAAGCCTTTACTTAAAATTTCCAGGAGTGTGTGTAGCTTAAAAAGCTAATTCCTTTTTAAAATAATGACTAAGACTCTGAGGAATCTAACTCCCAAAGTCACACAGGTAGTTTTGAATATGTTACCCTTTCAGAGTAATTATGCCATCAAAGTTCCAGTCAAAAGCTGATGAGCGTTACTAATATATGCTGATGAGAGAGCCTGAATGTAAAAGACCTTCTTGGTTTATTTACACTTCAGTAAATCAGAAAGCACACCAAGACTTATTTTCACATAGAAGAGTAACAGAGCTGACCACAAGGGACATTTAAGGAGGTTAACCCACAGCCCAGAGAGTAGGTTTACAGTAAACTGTCTGCAAGCTGATGCTGTTGTACTTGTGTTCACTGGAGATGATAGAAACTTGGAGCAGCTGTTTGGACTTCGGTGGACTAGCAGAAGTCACTACATAAAACAGTGGTCTGGCCCATCACCTGAATCATTACAAGTCACCATTCAGATGCTAAATAGTCCCCAGGCAGTCCTCAGTGACATTTATCTCTAGACCAAGAACCAGGCAGATGCAGTCAAGAGCTGGGATGAAGAAAGAATAAACCATTTTTACCACCTTGCATAAAGTTATATATTTGGTACAACATTCTTTGCAGAAGCAGACCTTCTCAAAGAGAAGGCAAGGCAGGCATTGTGTTATTTAAAGGGAGAAGGTGAAAGAGTGCCAGGAACATTTTAAGCTGCTCTATAGTAGAAGAAAGCACCAGAAAGTAGTTAAAGATTTTACTCTTGAGCCTATCAATGTCAAACAAATTCCAAGGTTAACAAAATTTAGCCAAAAATTAATATGTAAATTGTACAAGCACTGAACATTTCTGCTGTCCAGTTCTAGCCAGAAGAGAAGTATAAGGGGAATCCCATCCAAGACTGTCTCAGATACTTAGATGCCTTCTGAAGTATCTCAGCTATATTTATGCACCCAGCACACCCCACAAAGAAATAACTTCTACTACTTCATTTTAGAAAGAAAAGTAGATTCAGTGAGAGGCAGGTTCATTGGCACCTGTAGGAGTCGCTGACCTTAGCCTACCCACCTTTGGCCAGGTTGTGACAAAGAAAGTACCTGGGGGCAGTTTCCCATCCCTTCACCTAGCTCCAGCAATTGGGCTGGTGTCTCAGATGGAATCTATCTGCCTGTGCAACACAAAGCACCACTCATGGAAAAGCAGTGTCTGAAGCAGTAAAATTGCAGGAGAGTCAGTAATGAGTACTATAAGTAGAGCAAACTACTCAAAAATATTGCTAGCCTCCCCCAACGCTGTCCCTACCCCTTCGCTCAACTGTGATTTCAGGAGATACATTTTTGTACAATTATTTCATTATCTAATGGCAAACTGGCTGCCTATTCTATCTCTATGCAAGATTTCCATATATATTACTCCTCCACTGACATCTTCTCACACATACACAGATCAGCAATTGCTCCACTACATTCTCAAACAGAGAATAAAAGAGTCATAAATCTCAAAAAAACACATGAGTATGCCAAAAAATTCAGCATCTGAAGTTACAGCTGTTCATTTATCCTCTCTGCTCAGAAAGAGCCAGTCTTGGCTTATTGCAGATATTTTTGAAGTAGACAGTGTCGCTCTAGATTTACTTTGGATACAGGCAGTCAGGATGTGACCCACTGGAGCACTGGAACTTTGTTTCCCCACAGAGAAAAATACAGCCAGTGACACTCAAGTAGAACACAAAGGCTTTTCTTCCCTCCCCAGTAAGTATCTTCTCTCAAGCACCGCTGTAAGCAACAACAGGAGAAAGAAGCAACAACTCCACCAAGGAGTGGGCTAATGTTCCTCCCATCTGCCAGTCCCACGCTCATTCTGTTTTCACTTGGACCAAGTCCTCCCAAGCCTTCTGCTTTATACCTCGTTAAATTGGGTGCTTCATACAACAAAAATAACGTCATCCATCTTTGCAAGGTTACTTTCAAGGCACATTTCCATATCTTTTAACAGCACTTCTCTTCCTCAGCCCTGCCTTGGAAGCCTGAAAATGAACTCCCTAATTTTTCACATTGAATCTGTCCCCTGAATCCCAATCTACTTATTTATGACAGTAAAAGCCTATGCAAACACCTCCACGATGCAAAAACACTTCCCTCTTCATTCCTGTGGATTCATGTTGTTACTGTCCACCTCCAGAGTCTGAAGTACTCCCTGTATTGAGAGCTGCACTTTCTCATGCTGAGGGGCAATCCCCCTTAACTCCCCCTGTGCAGGTACGAGGTAAAGGGATGAGTAATCATGGAAAAGTTACAATGCTGAGGCAAAAGCTGCTCCACAAAGTGCAGGGACACTGACTGAAGACCCTGTATGGCTCCAAAGGCTGAGCAAGTCTGAAGTGAGGAGCCACCAGAAACGGCAGCTTAGCTGAAGCAGTGACAAACAAATAAACCAGACAAACCAAACTATTAAGAATGGTCAAGCTGAAGTCTGGAGCCTAAAACTTTTACAGGGCACACTGATTCATCCTAATGAACTGACTCACCTGGAGCCAGTAGAGATGCCAGGCTTGGCAGCTGTGGGTAGAGGTTCTTGGCTAGAATCCAGCTACATAAAGGACTTCACACCCAAGGAAGGAAGATAAAAATGAAAGGGCAGAAATGAATAAAGCTGAACATTTTTGCTCAAGTAGCCTTCTAGAAATAAGAGAAGGGAGTAGAGTTCCTGCTCAAATGTTGTCAGCCCTGAAACACCACTAGGAGCACATGGTGCAGCTAATGGGCCAGGGAGGACTTGAGTACAGGACACTGCAGTTAAAGAAGAGCCTAAGAAACCCCAGCACAATGACAACAATAATGAATCATCACATCTATTTTCCCTATATCCACCTGCCTTACATTGCCTTGGCTAATGACAACACCAGCTCACATGCAGGACTCATCCTCCTCCTTCTAGACCCCAAATGCCATTTCTCCACCAGTGCCAAAAAAATGGGTGGGGAGAAGGAAGAAAGTCCTTTCTAACCACCTTCTGATACAATGTTATTCCTCCCTGGCGTTAACCTCAGTCCCAGGATCAACCAGGTTAATCCAAGGCAACACATACCAAAAGTTCCCCCCAAAAGAAGGCAAGTTTAGTTTCTGCAATGCTTAGCATTCTCTGCAAAAAATTTTGACCTTGTGAAAATACCCACCAAAAACTTTAATAAACAGAACTTCCTCTCAGATAACTTCTGAGAAGAGGTGCTGGGCCAGCTCTGACCCTAGTGCAGCTGTTCTGGTTCAGGAGTGATGCTGGTGGGGTGTTTGGCCCTCTGCAATCTGGATATGCACTGTATCACATCGGATATCTCCTGGAATGGAGGAGCAAAATCAAAGAAAGACAAACAAATTGATGCAGAACTACAATATGAAGCTATTCATACCTATTTTCTACATACACTATTATTTTTAAGGAGATGCTGTCAGCTTAGCATTTTCAGACTTAAATACATAGAAAGAAATCCTACCTCTCTTAGGCAGTCTAAAGCTCTGCTACAGAGAGTTCTTCTTTAAAGCTGTTACTTTGTAATTTCCTTGCCACACCCCTTGTTCTTTCTCTTATCTTTCTCCTAGCCTTACTTAAGTTAATAGACCCTGTCTTTGCAAATCTGTTTTAACAGATTCAGAGCAAGAGACAAGTACCTTTCATAAAGAAAAGTAACAGTTTAAGGCATTTGAAATGAATCTGTCTTATGCAAAAAGAGCCTGGAGCTAACGAGGTAATTTCAGAGTGAAAACTCAGAAAGCACATTTACAGCTGATACAACTATAAAGTTGATTCACTCTTCTTAATATCAACTCTTGTATGAACAACAGTTCATTCCAGGTAAGACATACATAAACATTTCCAGTCAATAGCATCTCTTTAAGCCTGCCGACAAAACCCGAATTTAGATGATTTAAGCTACCTCAGGAGCTGGCAGCTTAGATTTTCATATTTCTGTGGCATTACTGGAGATCAGTGCCAGCTGACAGCGCTGAAGGGCTGCAGCTCCCTGTGCTGGGAAAAAGCCCCATGCCAGGGTCAAGGCTCCCCCGTGCGCTTTGCTCTTCCTAAGAAAAGCCCTGTCTCCACTCCGACCTGCCGGTGTGAGGTCCCAATTTGTTGCACGACGTGACCAGCTCGACAAGGGGAGTCACTGGAGCACAGCAATGCAGGATGCTTGAGAGTGAGCCACTCGAGGTCTAACACAACTTGCTCCTCAGCTTGAAGCCAGCGTGGCTTTATCTTAGTTTCTCTGTCTAGGAAGCAGGGCTTCATACGTTGTTTCTAGGGCTCTTGAGCCATTGATTAAAGTAAATAAACAAACAAAAAACCTACAAGTTTTCTTTCTAATCCCCAGCAATCCAAATCACAAGGTCTGAAAAATCCTTGTCCTATCTGTGGTTGTTTGTTTTCTTAAAGCAGAGAGTAAACAAGCAAAGTAAAAGTAACGTAAAACCAGAAAAAAAACCAAACCAAAACAACCAAACCCAAACCCGTACCTCCTCCTCTCCTTGTTTCTCTGTAATTGAAGAGAGCATCTCCAGCCTTCTAAAAGTTATGGAAGCTTATACAAAGTACTCAGTGATCCAAGAGCAATTTTAATGTAAGACAAGAATCCTCGCCATGCCCAGATCACATCCAAACACACCCGGAGTAGGAAAGTAAAATAATACCGTGGCTCTGAATCTGTAGCGGGGGGAATAACCCCTGTCAAAAGCAAAACCCAACAAACCCTCAGCTTACAAACATCTTCCATTACACCGCGTAACTCAGCGCACACCCCGGAGAAGACACGGACCGCACGGCGTTCCGACCATTACGCCATACATTCCCTTTTCCCGGCGGGGCAGGGACCCCGAGCCCCCCGCAGCCCACCCGCCGCACGAAGCCCCCGTACCGTCTGTCCCTTGCCCGGCGTCCGGCGCTGCCGCGAGCGGCGGCTCCGCGGCGACAGTCGGCGACAGCGCTTTCTTCCCGACACCGAGCTGCGGCCAGGGAAAGCGGCGGTGCCCGGGGCGCGCTGCTCCCGCCGGGGGGGCTCATGCCAGCGTGGGGCGCCGCATTTCAGCAGGAATCGCTGTGGGGAGAGGAAAGAAGCAGAGGGGGAAGCCCCGCCGCGGTTACCGCCGGGTGTCACGGCGGTCCCGCCCCTCCCGCGGGCTTGTCACGCGTGGAGCGCCGAAAGTGCGCCGCGCTGTCCCGCGCCCCGCGGGGGACGGGCAGAACGCGCCCGGGTTATTGTTTGTTCGGCCGCGTCCCCCGGCCCCGCTCACAGAACGGAGCGGCACCGCTCCGAGCTCCCGGGGGCCCGGGCCCGCCGACCCCCGGCGCGGCAATGGGCCCGTCCGCCGCCGCCGCGCGTTAAGGTGGAGCGGAGCGGAGCGGGGCGGCGGCACCTTAAACCGCTCGGGCCGCTCTCCCCGCCCGGCAGCCCGGGCCCCACGGGGCTGTGGCTGAAGGGGAGAGGACCGACCCTCCGGCCGCGGGGCTTGTGCAGCCGCCAGCAAACGAGGAGGAGGGGGAGAGTAAACAGCTGGTTCTGTCTGATGGACGGGGCAGCAGCCGGAGGCACGGACTGCTACCAGCGCCGTTCACGCCGCATGAGCGCGGCACACACCGAGCCTTTGAGTACCAGCTACTGTGCGCACACAACTCCCCTTCTCCCCCTCTCCCCTATATATACGTTCATACTTAATACGAGGAAGCCTCATCAGCTTTAATCCCAATAAGAGAATTCATGTTTAATTCACCAGAGCTCATCCTGTATAGCACTCGGGGAACGCACGGGCAGTGGTTACTTTTCTTACCTCTCATTTGTGTCCTTGACTGGCACTGGAAGGCAGAACCAAAGCAGCACTTCCCATGCCACCTGCAGGCTCCTTTGCCACCTCACACCTTGCACCTGACGCCAGCAAAAGCTCTGCTCCTGCACCTACACACACTCACTGACACACGCTGCCCTCACAGAGGATGCTAGTGATGGCTGTGTGAGAATAATCCATGGCAGGAAGGATGTGTCCTAGCACAGGAGCACCTTGGGCACAACCCTGGGTGGTGCTCAGGTACAGACTGAGTGCCTACAGCATTTCGGGGTACATTTAGGCACCTGCTGATTTACCGTGCTGGGTCAGGGCTTACCTCCCTGGTGGTGTGCAAAGCAGAGGTATAGGAACTCAAAATGGTTCTTAAACCCAAGTGAACAGACCCAACTCTCATCCTGTGCTGAATTAGCATTTCATACACTCCAGTAGTCCCCAGAAAGATCTACCCAAGGAGTCTGGCACAAGACAGCCTCCATGCTATCTTTCCCACACGTGCAAGAGGCAGAGAGAAATGCACTGCCATTTTACAAACAAGATACATATCTGCCTCAAAACCTGCATTGGTCCAGCAGCATGGAAGAGGTGAGAGGGAGCAGACCAGGATGAACCCCACAGGTTTTCCCAACCAAACCCTGGGACAGATGTGTTTTGTTCACTTCAATTGACAGCTGAGTTTGTAAAATATGCATTTGTCAAAAGAACTCACGTGTTTACACCTGAATTTGATGTGAAACAGTTTCTCTGTTGGTTACAAATTTTCCCTCTAGGACAAAACAGTCTCCTCATCTTCCCAGGGTAGACTGCAGTACAGTGATGGAGCCAACTGGCTACGAGGAATCTGGTTTTTGCTACCAGCACATCTTGCCACCAGGGAGGGCAGAATTGGCAAAGCTGCAAACAGTAGGTCATTTATACACCCTCAGAGGTGTGGAAATGCTGTCACTAAATGCTGGTGACACAGCAGTCCTGGCACTGGTAGGCCAAAGATTTCAGGTTTAGATCTTTAAATCTGAGCATCCAGCTTTCTATTTGGCCATCTTAAACAGATCACCCTTCAGAGCTGCACATTTTTGCTTCTGTGGAGATAGCTGCATTTGTCAACCAAGCCCAATATTCAGACACCTAAACCTGAAAATCTCTGATGCATTTCATACCAAAGTCAGTAACACTTGACAGGAAAAGCCTGTGGCCTGGCTCCTGTATGTCAGGTATCCGGGTTATTGCTCGGTTCTCAGTAGCCTTCCTACCATAAGAAAGACTAAAATTATGGATGGAGGAAAGCTAAAAAGTCCTCTTTCAATTCCATCCAGTATCTGGAGCAGCGTTAAATTTCTTGTAGTGCGTATTAGTTAACAACATTGCTAAAGGGGAATTGCTGCTGTGGTTGAGCACTTATACAATCCAACTCCTATTTAAGTGCATTTTTTTATCCTGCTGATTCACCCCAAGGAGACCTCAAACAAAACATCATGTTCAGTTTGACAGCAAAGGCTGTAGCATGAGGAGCCTCCCCTTACCAGCCCTCCCTGGGGGGATGTGAGTGCAGGATGGGCGACACTTCAAACCTTGGAACAAAACAGAAAGCTAAAAGAGAAGAGTGCCTTAAAATTTCAGCCAACATTTCCCCCATACAGATTTAAGCACATGACATTTCCAGTCTGTTTCAGCTTCAGTGAATAGATTAAAGTGACCATACAACTTCTGAACTCCTCAAGTCAGATTATACTTCAGGCAAGCTCTCACTAAATCAGAGGATGCATTATGTAGGTAACATAGTATTTCACTATTAGGTCTAGATGAATGTGGCTGTTTATTATCCCATATTAAAGCTGGGTGGGTTAGTGCAGCATGAGCCTCTTGGCTTGTTTTGTTGGCAGCTGCCTTTTGCGCTGCTGGGGACACTTCCCTTGCCCAGGCTCTGCAGCAGGAGGTTGCAAACATGAGGGTTTGCTCAGCACCACAGCAAGGCAGAGACTATTTGCCCAAAAGGAAAAAAAAAAAAAAAAGAAAGAAGTTTTCCTTGCAGGAACTGTGCAATGGGTAAGATTTTTGCCAGTACAAGTTCCTGCTGGTGCCACATAGCCAGGGATAAGAGGTCACTTCAGGGAAGTCAGAGGATGGAGATGGGGTTTGAGGGGATGCAGTGGCCCTCCCAAGAACTAACCCAAGGTGCTGCTGGCATCACTGTCTAGAGAACAGGCAGGTTGTGCTGGAGCAGGGAGCTGGACCTGTCTGCACCATGTGGGGATAAAAGCACCATCCTGCACCAGATTGGATCCTGCTAGAGCAGAGCCCTGCAGGCTTGACCCTCGGTGTTGAATTTGGAGAAGAGCACAAAGAGACCACAGCCTGAACCCTGCCAGATGGCACAATCTCAAATGAGCTGCAAAGGAAACAGCTGAGGTGTTCCTACACTGCCAGTAGAATCCAAATCTGCATGAAGCCAGTGCAGTAACTTTGCTGCCACTGTGAATCCAGTAGGTCAGAGAAAGCAGATCACACCTTTGGGCTATGGATGAACAATATTGCTCTGCTTCTATGGACTAGGAACGATGAAGCCATAACATAGTTCAAACAACTGAGATTGATTTCACCAGATTTCTCTGATGCTTGGCACAGACCATGGTGAAGCTACTTAGCAGTAGAGGACATCTAGTGATATTCACATGCAACTACAAAAACTACATAAACCGATAAAATTTCTCACGTGACTAACTCAGAGTCAGCATGGCTGGAGATGGGACACAGTGTGGCTGTGACAGCTGCAGGAGGGCTGGGAAGGCTGACCATATGCACCCTCTGTAAACGGGCCACAAAGAAAAAACCTCCTGAGAGGCTTAGGGAACACACAGGTAGGAAGCTCAGGGGAGCTGGTGGTGCTGCATCTTTTAAGGAAATATTACAGGAGAGTGCCGAGCTTTTATTTCAACAGCAAAGACCATGTAAACTGGGATACAGAGATTAAAATAGGTCGTTTTCTTTCAGGAATCTTTGCTCTTATCTCAATTTGCCTTTCACGTGACTCATCCTGAGCACATGCTGCAAACATCAGCCTCAAGATCAAGATTTTTTTTCTCTAGTACAAGAGATCAACCCTTTCTCCATGCCCTTTACAGCCTGCTGCTCTTTGTTCTGGGAAGGATACAAAGAATACTTCCCTCCTCCAGGTTATTTATAACAGGGGATTCTGTAGAAATGTTTTTCCAGACACACTCCAGGCCTAGGATCAGGAATTTGGCTGTGAAACAAAGAGACTGCCAATTTGGTTTCTAAAAAAGCGAGGATTGGCAGAGCTTTATAAAAGAACACACTTCCCTAAGGAAATAGACTCATTTTATCTGACACTTCCTTTGAATGGAATTATTCCCATTAAGATCACCATTAATTTAGGAGTAAGGGCTTCACATTTGAGGTCTCACCATCTTGTACTTACTTCCATGTCAGATGCACTCAGTTTACAAGGAAAGGTGGGACTTTTATTACTGCTAATAAAACACAAGGAAAATAAGTTTCTGCTGGCCAGATTAGGTCCTTGGAAATAGCTGTGCAAAGCTACAATACCTACTCAGAATGCAAAGGGTGATGTTGAAAGGCGTCAGTGACACGGGTGAAAGAACAGAGGAAAAGGCTGCATTAGCACCTGCAACAACTGTTGATTTTGTGCCCTTCATACATTTCTGTTATTTATCAATGGACTATATTTAGCAATCATAAGACCAGAGCGTAGAGCAGCCCCAGGTCTTTGCTCTGCTCTCCAGAGGGCAGCTGGTGGCTAGCAGAGACTGGCACAGCTCTGAGAGATCCACAGTAGCTGCTCATACGAGGCAGGAGTAATTTCTGCAGCACACTGAGTCATTGTAGGAAGGAGACTGAATCTTACCCAATTTCCGAAAGCAGAAGAGCTCTAAGCTCTCTTGTGATGAAACAAAAGCTGGCAGAGCACATGTTGTTATGTGGCAGGCAGGGAGGCCACTTGAGACACATTCAGGAGGTCTTCATGTGAGCAGCAGTGAAGGACACTTCAGAGGCTGAAAGCTGCTGGTGTTGAGCAGCGAAGGCACAGTGCAGCTGCTTCAGTACCAGAGAGCCAGAAATTAATGTGTGATGTGAGTTTCAAGGCAGAGGAGATGAGGAAATCAATGACCCAGACAGAAGGAGAGATAGTGCCAGATGAAGCCCGATGACGACATTTCCAGGCAAATTGTTCACGCTGCTGGGTGAGCTGCCTGGGGAGAGATGGAACAGATTAGAGATGACTGCATATACTTTGCCCAAGAGCAAGACTGTGAGATTCACAGTAGCAAGGGCCTTGGTGGCTGTGCTGCCTCCACGCAGAAATATTAATAACTGCTTCTCTTAACTACCAGAGCATTAGCTCCAGCTGATTTTACTTTTGTGCATGTAAAAAAGCAATTACTTTTCCTCTTGGGGATTTCATCCATGGGTTGTACAATGTTGGACAATTATGTG